TGTTGAGGGTTTGACACAATCTGTGTGTGATGTTGAGTGTTTGACACAATATGTGTGTGATGTTGAGGGTTTGACACAATCTGTGTGTGATGTTGAGTGTTTGACACAATCTGTGTGTGATGTTGAGGGTTTGACACAATATGTGTGTGATGTTGAGTGTTTGACACAATCTGTGTGTGATGTTGAGGGTTTGACACAATCTCTGTGTGATGTTGAGTGTTTGACACAATATGTGTGTGATGTTTAGGGTTTGACACAATCTGTGTGTGATGTTGAAGATTTGACACAAATATCTGTGTGATGTTGAGGGTTTGACACAATCTGTGTGTGATGTTGAAGATTTGACACAAATATCTGTGTGATGTTGAGGGTTTGACACAATCTGTGTGTGATGTTGAAGATTTGACACAATCTGTGTGTGATGTTGGGGGTTTGACACAATCTGTGTTTGATGTTGAGGGTTTGACACAATCTGTGTGTGATCTTGAGGGTTTGACACAATCTGTGTGTGATGTTGAGGGTTTGACACAATCTGTGTGTGATCTTGATGATTTGACACAATTTGTGTTTGATGTTGAGGGTTTGACACAATATGTGTGTGATGTTGAGGATTTGACACAATCTGTGTGTGATGTTGAGGGTTTGACACAATATGTGTGTGATGTTGAGGGTTTGACACAATCTGTGTGTGATGTTGGGGGTTTGACACAATATGTGTGTGATGTTGAGGGTTTGACACAATCTGTGTGTGATGTTTAGGATTTGACACAATCTGTGTGTGATGTTGAGGGTTTGACACAATATGTGTGTGATGTTGAGGGTTTGACACAATCTGTGTGTGATGTTGGGGGTTTGACACAATCTGTGTGTGATGTTGAGGGTTTGACACAATCTGTGTGTGATGTTGAGGGTTTGACACAATCTGTGTGTGATGTTGAGGGTTTGACACAATATGTGTGTGATGTTGAGGGTTTGACACAATATGTGTGTGATGTTGAGGGTTTGACACAATCTGTGTGTGATGTTGAGGGTTTGACACAATCTGTGTGTGATGTTGAGGGTTTGACACAATCTGTGTGTGATGTTGAGGGTTTGACACAATCTCTGTGTGATGTTGAGGGTTTGACACAATATGTGTGTGATGTTGAGGGTTTGACACAATCTGCGTGTGATGTTGGGGGTTTGACACAATCTGTGTGTAATGTTGGGGGTTTGACACAATCTCTGTGTAATGTTGGGGGTTTGACACAATCTGTGTGTGATGTTGGGGGTTTGACACAATCTGTGTTTGATGTTGAGGGTTTGACACAATATGTGTGTGATGTTGGAGGTTTGAAACAATCTGTGTTTGATGTTGAGGGTTTGACACAATCTCTATGTGATGTTGAGGGTTTGACACAATCTGTGTGTAATGATGAGGGTTTGACACAATCTGTGTGATGTTGAAAATTTGACACAATCTCTGTGTAATGTTGGGGGTTTGACACAATCTGTGTTTCATGTTGAGGGTTTGACACAAATATCTGTGTGATGTTGAGGGTTTGACACAATCTGTGTGTGATGTTGAAGATTTGACACAATCTCTGTGTGATGTTGGGGGTTTGACACAATCTGTGTTTGATGTTGAGGGTTTGACACAATCTGTGTTTGATGTTGAGGGTTTGACACAATCTGTGTGTGATGTTGAGTGTTTGACACAATATGTGTGTGATGTTGAGTGTTTGACATAATCTGTGTGTGATGTTGAAGATTTGACACAATCTGTGTGTGATGTTGAGGGTTTGACACAATCTGTATGTGATGTTGGGGGTTTGACACAATCTGTGTGTGATGTTGAGGATTTGACACAATCTGTGTGTGATGTTGAGGATTTGACACAATCTGTGTGTGATGTTGAGGATTTGACACAATCTGTGTGTGATGTTTAGGGTTTGACACAATCTGTGTGTGTGATGTTGAGGATTTGACACAATCTGTGTGTGATGTTGAGGGTTTGACACAATCTGTATGTGATGTTGGGGGTTTGACACAATCTGTGTGTGATGTTGAGGGTTTGACACAATCTGTGTGTGATGTTGGGGGTTTGACACAATCTCTGTGTGATGTTGAGGATTTGACACAATCTGTATGTGATGTTGAGGATTTGACACAATCTGTGTGTGTGATGTTGAAGATTTGACACAATCTGTGTGTGATGTTGAGGGTTTGACACAATCTGTGTGTCATGTTGAGGGTAAGTCACAATCTGTGTGTGATGTTGAAGATTTGACTCAATCTCTGTGTGATGTTAGGGGTTTGACACAATATGTGTGTGATGTTGAGTGTTTAACACAATCTGTGTGTGATGTTGAGGGTTTGACACAATCTGTGTGTGATGTTGAGGGTTTGACACAATCTGTATGTGATGTTGAAGATTTGACACAATCTCTATGTGATGTTGGAGGTTTGACACAATCTGTGTGTGATGTTGAGGGTTTGACACAATCTGTGTGTGATGTTGAGAGTTTGACACAATCTGTGTGTGATGTTGAGGGTTTGACACAATCTGTGTTTGATGTTGAGGATTAGACACAATCTGTGTGTGATGTTAAGGATTTGACACAATCTGTGTGTGATGTTGAGGGTATGACACAATATATGTGTAATGTTGAGGGTTTGACACAATATGTGTGTGATGTTGAGGGTTTGACATAATCTGTGTGTGATGTTGAGGGTTTGACACAATCTGTGTGTGATGTTGAGGGTTTGACACAATATGTGTGTGATGTTGAGGGTTTGACACAATCTGTGTGTGATGTTGAGGGTTTGACACAATCTGTGTGTGATGTTGAGGGTTTGACACAATATGTGTGTGATGTTAAGGATTTGACACAATCTGTGTGTGATGTTGAGGGTTTGACACAATCTGTGTGTGATGTTGAGGGTTTGACACAATCTGTGTGTGATGTTGAGGATTTGACACAATCTGTGTGTGATGTTGAGGGTTTGACACAATCTGTGTGTGATGTTGAGGGTTTGACACAATATGTGTGTTATGTTGAGGGTTTGACACAATATGTGTGTGATGTTGAGGGTTTGACACAATCTGTGTGTGATGTTGAGGGTTTGACACAATCTGTGTGTGATGTTGAGGGTTTGACACAATCTGTGTTTGATGTTGAGGGTTTGACACAATATGTGTGTGATGTTGAGGATTTGACACAATCTGTGTGTGATGTTGAGGGTTTGACACAATCTGTGTGTGATGTTGAGGGTTTGACACAATCTGTATGTGATGTTGAGGGTTTGACACAATCTGTGTGTGATGTTGAGGGTTTGACACAATCTGTGTGTGATGTTGAGGGTTTGACACAATCTGTGTGTGATGTTGAGGGTTTGACACAATCTGTGTGTGATGTTGAGGGTTTGACACAATCTGTGTGTGATGTTCAGGATTTGACACAATCTGTGTGTGATGTTGGGGGTTTGACTCAATATGTGTGTGATGTTGAGGGTTTGACACAATCTCTGTGTGATGTTGGGGGTTTGACACAATCTCTGTGTGATGATTAGGGTTGAGGATGTCTGTACAGATTTGAGATTACAATCTGTCAACACTACAATTTGACCCCTGCTTTCTTCCTGGCCGTAATGAGCGGTCACTCACTGGAGTAGAGACCAGCTGATACGTGGCCATGTTCATTAGGAGGCCTGGCCAGCTTAGCGCCGGTGGAAGAAAATCTCCTTGACAACCCACTAGCCGCTCTGTGCCTTACATAACGGTTGATTTGAACGTTTATATGCCCCTATACTCCTACTGCATTGGGAGGATTCATCGTGTCCCGTCCTTCATTACCTCCCCTAAACTGTCCATTTTAGAAGATTTAAATATGCATTGTCAAAGTTCACTTTCATATAGGCCAATGTTATGCCTCATTTGGAACTGCACTGTGCATTATGTTCTCAATACATCCTGCCTGGGGTATATACGTAACTATAAGATAGCTACGCGATCAATCGTAAAGAACAATGAAGAACGAAGCGTGTGTGTTTTTCACGATAAAACATTGTTCTATTATGACGTCATTTCTGGAGATTCGAACATGAGCTCGCAACTTGATGACGTCCTATATATGACGACGCTATTACTGAGAGGGGAGTGTCTAGCGAGCTGTTCCGAATAAATGTAGCTGGGCAACGCAGATAAACGCGATGGCCGAATAATCGCATCCCAAAGCGGGAGAGATATGACAATCGGGTTTGGGAGAAAAGATACAGGTAATCAAAGTAAGGATTGTGAGAATATGCTGGAAATACCCACCTGTGCATAAAATGGACTTGTCCGGCATTGCCGAGGTCGAATTCTATTGAGGGAGTCATCATTATTTAAATACGGGTATATATTTTTAAAGCTTGTACAATTCATCGTCATCCTTAAGCGGCTGTACATCATGTTGATATCTCATATAAGATCTAAACGACGAGTGGGAGTTGTGTATCCCCTCATAGTTTATTCTAACTGTTTTATTGTGTTTTATTGTACGATAAACAACTCCCACATGTCGCTAAGTCCTTAAATAGATGTTACTTTTATCAATTGTATCCAGATGTGGTATTTTAAGACAGTTTGTGTCTCCTAAGCCTCACAAGCCTGGGCTTTGCATTTACACCAAAATCATGTATTGTTTTATGTAACTTGCAGAGTGTGACACATAAAATGAATGAATGAATAAGTGAATGAATGAATGAATGAATGAATGAATGGATGGGTGGATGGATGAATGGATGGGTATGAATGGATGGTGGATAAATAAATGAATAAATATATATATAATTAAATAAATTTTTGTCATGGCATTCCAACGCCCATGCATCCCCCTTGCATCCGCCAGTGAAGATGTTGGTCACGGCGCCCATGACCCAAGCTCTGGTAAAACCAGGGCACCTGACACTTCGTGCTCCGTGACCATGGTGACACGTCTAAGTAGCCTTCTTGACCCACGGAAGGACGGATTGGTCACTTCCTCACCCCCGGGTCTCTTTGGAGTCTTGCTGACCGCGGGGCTACATTCATCCCAGAGCCCGTGGGTGAGCGTCAGGTCTTCCCACACAGGAGTCACTATGAACAGCATGAAGTTGGCGTGTGTCCTCGTCTGTCTCACGGTCTGCGTGTTTGGGGGTAAGTCACATTGTTATAATGTTACCCGGTTACATCGTTTTATTTCGTTGTCTTTTATTAATGTTTTTCATAATTCTAGGGGGCGGTGGGTAGCCAAGTTGTAAAGGGTTCGCACGTCACGCCGGGTGCCCGTGTATCGAGTCCCTACTATGGTACAATATGTGAAGCTAGTTCTGATGTCCTCCCCGCGATGCTGCTGGTATAGTGCTGTAACAGGCCCAGCTGTGATACGCGGCCAAATAAAACAAAATTTTGTCAATTTGTGGAAATTCTGAAACCAAATTTTGTAATTCTGCATACATTTTTGCAAAACAAAATGTTTAGTTTTAGTTATGTTTAGTTTTCGTGAATTTGGTAGTTTTGTCACTGTTTGACTTGTGTCAGGTATCAATAGCTTATTGAAGTGAATCTGGAGATCACTTGTGTAGACATACAGACATGCACCTTCGGTAAGCAATAACACAAAAGTCAACTTCACTTGAAACCGAAATAAATTTCCGTACGTTTAAACCAGCTTTCGTCTCACATGTTAAAGTTCTATGCAGTAGATAAATGCAAAAAATGCGAGTTCTAGACAAAATGCGATTTTCCGCAAGATATCTAAATTTCTGCATCGAGTAGGCTTTCCTACAAAATATTCCGCGACCGCGGAATCGTGGAAAACAGCGGGTATCCTGTCCGAGGATTGGTGGGTGGTTTTGTAGTCTCGTCAAGCCGAAGACCTGGGTTCGATTCCCCTCCCATATAATGTGTGAGGTCCATGTGCCCACGTCGTTCCTCATGACGACAAGTATATATACAGATAGGAGGCAGTGTTCATACAGTTAAGAAGATAAGGAAGCACAGCAAACTACGGTTATAACGAACTCAAAGAGACCACTAATTTTAGTTCGTAATAACCGTAGTTCGTTATAAATATATTTACAGTATATATACAACAAATGGCCGGGACTAATAAATAAGTTCGTTCTATCGGTCAGTTCGTTATAAGCGTGTTCGTTATTAACGTAGTTTACTGTAGCTACACTGGAGAAGTGCATGATGATTACAACTAGTACAAAATTTGGTGTTCAGTAAACTACGTTTATAACGAACACGCTTATAACGAACTGACCGATAGAACGAACTTATTTTTTAGTCACGGCCATTTGTTGTATATGTTATATATGCTTATAACGAACTATGTTTATTACGAACTAAAATTATTGGTCCCTTTGATTTCGTCATAATCATAGTTTACTGTACCAACTGGCTGTACATTTGAAAAATGAAAGCAAATGCCATCTGAAGTTTACAATATCTGAAATGCTGAAGTTCCTCATTGATAACATCTACGAAACATTTTGGGGTAAGACATTTAGGCTAAAATTAGACATCTCAATGGGCACCTTTCTTTCTTCATATAATTCGGAATTTCTGTTCGGATTGGCAAAGTCAAAAGAAGGAAATTTGGCCAAGAAGTTTAACTTAAGCTTCAGGTTTATCGATGATCTGATATCGTTCAATAACAATCACATAGCCAATTTCCCTCCACTGATTTACCCACCTGGACTAGAAACAAAGGTGACACTGAGAACGCCTCATCTGTTTCATATTTAGATCTATGCATAAAGATTCAGAGTGACAAAACACTCTCCACAAGACTGTGTGACAGGATGGATGATTTCAACTTTCCAATAGTCAACTTTCCCTTCATGTCGAGCAGCATACCAGCAGCTCCAGCCTTTGGTGTTTTCATTTCACGACTTTCTACCAAGATTTCAAAAAAAACAACACAACTCTCACTCAGAAGTTGCTTGATCAAGGTAACAACATTCAAGGTCTCAGTAAAGCAAGAGAGGACATTTCCAAATTGACGCATCAGTGTCAAAAATGATGTCCGATACAATTCCTAATGTTGACTTGTACCCTATGTTCCCGTGCTTATTCTGGTTAACAGTTGACTTGTACCCTATGTTCCCGTGCTTATTCTGGTGAACAGTTGACTTGTACCCAATGTTCCCGTGCTTATTCTGGTGAACAGTTGACTTGTACCCTATGTTCCCGTGCTTATTCTGGTGAACAGTTGACTTGTACCCTATGTTCCCGTGCTTATTCTGGTGAACAATTGACTTGTACCCTATGTTCCCGTGCTTATTCTGGTGAACAGTTGACTTGTACCCTATGTTCCCGTGCTTATTCTGGTGAACATTTGACTTGTACCCTATGTTCCCGTGCTTATTCTGGTGAACAGTTGACTTGTACCCTATGTTCCCGTGCTTATTCTGGTGAACAATTGACTTGTACCCTATGTTCCCGTGCTTAATCTTGTGAACAGTTGACTTGTACCCTATGTTCCAATGCTTATTCTGGTGAACAATTGACTTGTACCCTATGTTCCCGTGCTTAATCTGGTGAACAGTTGACTTGTACCCTATGTTCCCGTGCTTATTCTGGTGAACAGTTGACTTGTACCCTATGTTCCCGTGCTTAATCTGGTGAACAGTTGACTTGTACCCTATGTTCCCGTGCTTATTCTGGTGAACAATTGACTTGTACCCTATGTTCCCGTGCTTATTCTGGTGAACAGTTGACTTGTACCCTATGCTCCCGTGCTTATTCTGGTGAACAGTTGACTTGTACCCTATGTTCCCGTGCTTATTCTGGTGAACAGTTGACTTGTACCCTATGTTCCCGTGCTTTTTCTGGTGAACAATTGACTTGATCTTGCATGTGTTTGTGACGGGTGCCACCGGTGGGGCAGGATACTCTCACCTTTTCGCGAACACCTGGTATCATGACTGTTTGATAGTGATTCATAAACACATGCTCATGATATAGTCGGAATCGTATAATCGACTCTGCTTTATGCAGAGATTTCTATTGGATATGGAAAGGGTTTTGTCGCTTTTTATAATTACCGTGCAACCTACCCGTCAAAGTGTCTGACGTTTTCCACTTTAGCGTCCGCCCAGTTGTACGACCGCCTGTTCCGGACGTTGATGAAGGGCTACACCAGGGACGTCATGCCCCGCACCTCCGTCAACTCCACCATCAACGTCAAGTTTAACCTGCAGCTCATACAGGTTCATGAATTGGTGAGTAACACAAGGCTTATGCCCACAGACATCTGTGGCTAGATGCGCCTCGCTTTAACGTATTGCAGTAGCGGGACCGGTTTAAGATCAACAAGGTAAACCTGTCCTCGTGCTATCAAAAATAACTGTGTTCTTCTCAGTCTGGCTCAACTTCCGGTCTGCTAATAAGGTGCCTCCACTTCCGGTCTACTAAAAGATTGTATTAGATTCATGCATGTAGGATGTTTATTGCTTGATATACTCAAATGTGACTTGGAAAACAAAAAATGACATTGTCAAACTGTTGGCCTCTTTATTCCCACTTTAAAGGAAGCCATCGAGTGATACCCAAAGGCTGGAAGACCTCAAGTAACACGTGACCCAAATATATCACAATGAACTGGGAGTTTTAACTACTATTTAGAAGATAACACGATATTGCAAGCTTCAATTTTATATTAAGCAGTGCATGGAATGACTACCTATATTTAATTATCCTCAGTTAAATTGATGCTGTTTGAAACGCTCGCTCGTCCAGCAGAATACGATTGCCCATATCGTTGCCTCTCAGTCTGTACCGTCCACATGCCATAGTCACTGCATTACCTGTTGCAATGCACTACACATTTAATGACGTCGTCGCGTTGTTTCCAGAGCGTATCCTTCCAGCTATTGAAGACGGAGGTGTGGTTGACGTTGTCGTGGCAGGACCCGCGCCTGAGATGGGATCCCGCAGAGTTCAACAACGTTCAGAAAATGGCCGTCCCTGCAGGCAAGGTGTGGATCCCTGACATCATGCTGTATAACGGGTAGGTCTTGTAATGGCGTCATAGCGAATCTTAAGTCTAAAGGGTGAAGGCCAAGTCATTCCTCCATTGGCCACATGGCTCATTTAACCACCCGTGTTCCTGTGTTTGATCTAACGCGATTTTCACAAATTAAAGGGGCTGATCGGAATTACTTTATTCATGAACCATGTCATATTGCAATAGAGAAAGACTTTATCCACATACTCCGTCGTTTTTAGGTCTACTTTGTCGACCGCCCACCCTCTGTCACTGACGCGCGCCACTGATACTGACGTCACTGTTTTGTGTGCACATTTTTTTTTCGTGTTTCCCCACATGAAACAGAAATACGATGAAACGTGATATTGAAATTGCACCTTTAGTGTGCTTTAGACCTTAAAGATCGTGGGGTTTGGGGTTAAAAAAAAGTATTTCGTTTTTCTCTTTAGTGAGTATGGTTTTACGCCGCTTTTAGCAATATTCCAGCACTATCGCTGGTGAACCAAAATGTGTTTCTCGCAATGTACGTTTTACTAAACACTAACCTGGACTGACTATCCCCCAGGGCGTCTGGTATCCGCGCTGCCACAGTCCAAGCGTTGGTCTACAGTGACGGAAGTGTGTTTCTTATCCGACCAGCCACTATCAGGTCGCGCTGCCCCGTCCTCCCAGGAAGTGACCCCACCACATGCACCCTCAAGTTCGGATCCTGGGTTCACAACGGAAATGAACTCGATCTTGATTTCCAAGGGGAGCATAAGGCTGACCTCACTGACTATGTCCCCAACTACGACTTCGACATCGTAAACAACACTGCTGTGCGCAACGTCATCCTCTACGACTGCTGCCCGGAACAGTACATCGACCTCTCCTACAAGCTGACCTTCAGGCCTGCAGCACTGAGGAGGAGAAGGAGGCGATAGACGTCGCCTGCAGCGTCTGCTAACCTGGTATCAAATAGTACTGAAAGCATTCATTTTTGTAGTCATGGAGAATCTGTTACCTTCCGTAGAAAGATTCAGATGACACGTTCCCCATTAACAAATACAAGGGAATCACGTGTTCCATGATTTTCAGTATAGGCGCATTACAGTATACATTGTGTACCTTTTAACCTTGTCGATTTAGATAGAACTGAGAGTATAAACAGAATCTTGATACAGCGTTCAACAAAAAACGAGGAAAAGGACACTGATTTGATTGTTGAGGGGACTTATGTGTGTCTTGCTTGCTTTACTAATCGTAATACAGAATAGTAGGGAGGCATGACTGACAAGCCCATTCCTTCATGCGGGTATTTACGGCAGGGTTGTCTCAGTGTTGAGCATGTGTCCTTTACATTCATATACGGATAAATAAAAAAGGTTAAAACCAAATGGATGTACTGTTCTCTTAATAGAGCCTATTGCATGTCATAATACACGAACGGAAGGAAGTAAATATGCTTCATATAAAGTGGTGTAGATGTTATGTTATTGAAAATAACGTCGTAATATTTGGTCATTCACCTGACCAACGTTTTATCATCACAAATTCCTTGCCAAAACCCATACCTGGTAACAGGACGCAGAGCGACACGCCTTAAAAGAGGCAGTTTGGTATCGATTCCATAGATGCACCAACCGAATATGGTTGTCTTGTTGATGTGACATCACACGTGGGCGACCTGCCCGTGGCAAGTCATGAATGCTGCCTTGCTGTCGATAACTTCTCTAAAGAGATGAAATTTGTTTCGATGAGCATTAAATTGTCTCACTACTTCGTTTTGCGGCATTCCTGTTTGCAGTATACCCACGGCAGTATGCAGTATACCCACGGCACGCGTACACGTTGAATTTTGTCAGCAAGCCGTCGCATTGCGTCAGCGTTATTTACGGATAAATATGTTTTTTAGGAGCACCCGATAGCTAAACAGTTAATGTATCATGCTCCGAACAAACACGCAAAAATCCAAAGTATGCGCCGTCCATGAACATGCACGTGCAAATTTTGAATCACGACCTTAAAGTTTTCAGATGTGTTCATGAATATGTATTGAAAGACGCATTATTTAATTTCAGAACAAAATTATTTTTATTGAATGTTATATTAAGCACAAGTACTTTTTCCGCCTATATATATCATATGCTGTCAGAAACTATGCTGAAGCGGAACAATCGTTCTTCCGACAGACGAGCACTGTTAAAGCGTACCTTACACACCCGTGAAGATCCGGGGTAGAATAGCGGCAACCCATGCTTGACGTTAGAGGCGACTAACGGGATCCGATGGTCAGGCTCGCTGACTTGGTTGATGCATGTCATCGATCCCAATTGCGTGGATCGATGCTCATGATGTCAATGACTGGCTTGTCTGGTCCAGACTCGATTATTTACAGACCGCCGTCATATAAATGGAAACAAACAAACAAACTTTACACACATGGTTATGAACGTTTAACCCCTGTGACAGCAAGCAGTCGGGCAGAGATGTAAATCCAACGAGGTACTAGTATCTATCATAGCCTACACAGCAATGTCAGTTAGTACTTGGTATATTCGCTGCATGATGAACGCTGGTGAAATATCCGCCGCTGTTTACGTTATGTCAACCTATCGACGTGTCCCACTTTAGTGAAAACAAACACAGGAATGCTGACACCTCAAGGGGCATAATAAAAGTGAATCTAGGATTCGAACCCAGAATTAATGGGTATTGAGCGCGTATACGTAGCGAATTATTCCACGGAGCCACCAATGTGTGTGGAGCGAGACGCGTGGAAATACACTGGGTCGGGGGTTTCCATGGTGATAGAGCCTAGCCCTGTGGATATACCGGGGTAAATCTGGTCCCCTGAAAACTATTCTTATCGTAAGAGTCGGCTCAAATGGATCAGGTCGTCAGGCTCGGGGACTTGGTTGATTGCGTTATGACATCAATCACTGGTTTGTCTGGTCCAGATGGAATAAAGCTGACTGTGGAGTTAAACAACAAACCAACACAATGTGATGACGGCAACATCGACAGAAGTGATCAAAGCGCCTGGAAAATATCCAACTTTGCGCCGTGTTTGTCAAACAGGTCGTGTTCATTTTCAAGAAAGTCGTCTCGTGCATGAGAAACGGCCCGAGCCGTCAGAGCACATTGACACGTGACTCCCTGTAGCCACGTGACCCACCTGTTCGTCATTAGTCAACTCTTCACTATCAGCAGGGAAGCAACTGGTCCGCATAGGTTAGCCCTTCAGAACTGCTTGTATTTTGTCTGGTGTAATGCTAAAATTTAATAAGAAATTAGGTCCCCCTATTTTTTAAAAACTATGTCCCTATGAATAGATGCTAATCGAAAGGTGGCTGATAACGTAATTATCAAGTCACAACTAGTTGCGACGCATGGGTTAGCGCGTGACGTGACGCAAGGTTTTACGTATGACGTCACGATGATTTCTGTAGCCGCCATGTTGGGCAAAACCGAATACGTAGAGAATTTCACCCGAGTGTCTTTTGATATCAAATATATCAACACGAGTTGATAAAAGTATAAAAATTCCGAAGCTTGCCGAGGAGTTTTTCCACTTTTGTCTACGAGTGTTGATATACTAGTATTTGATATCAAAAGACACACGGGTGAAATTTTATTTATCGTCCAACATCAACTTTTTCAATTTCTAGACAGTAATAAGCAGTATCTTAGTGTAAAAAGTACTTCTGACAGCTTCAGCAGCAGAGCCATAAGTGATGTCATTTGATTGTGATATCATGGTAACCAAAGACGTCACAATGGTCTGCAAAGCATTGTGATGCAAGATATCGCTTGATCCCGCCCAAGCAGTATCTCCTGTTGGAGCCAGTTTTGGATGATAAATAGAGAATCTCACCCGAGTGTCTTTTGATATCAAATATATCAACACGAGTTGATAAACGTTCGAAAACTCCGATGCTTGCCGAGGATTTTTTTCCACTTTTATCAACGAGTGTTCATATACATTGTATTTGATATCAAAAGACACGAGGGTGATATTTTATTTATCATCCAACATCATTCTTCAAACTTTTTCAGTTTGTAGAAAGTAATAAGCAGTGTCTTTTTTAAAAGTGTAAAAAGTACTGCAAACAGTTGTTAGCAGAGCCATTAGTGATGTCATTTGATTGTGACGTCATGGTAGCCAATGACGTCACAATGGTCTGCAAAGCATTGTGATGCAATTTCATTGCAGCGATATCTACAGTGTAGATATCGCTTGATCTCACCCAAGCGATAGAGCGATAAAGCGATAAAGCGATAGAGCGAGAAAACGAGAAAGCGATAGAGCAAGAAAGCGATAAAGCGATGTCCCCTCTCGGTCACCATAGAAAACGGCTACTATTGCCTGACAAAAACGGCGCCTTATATTTTTTACCTCGGTACAGAAATCAAAGATTGTTTTTGTTTAAGGTGTTGTTTAACGCCGCACTTAGCAATATTCCAGCTATATGACGGCGGTCTGTAAATAATCGAGTCTGGACCAGACAATCCAGTGGTTGACATAACGAGCATCGATCCACGCAATTGGGAGAAATACATGAAATTAAATTCGCATGGTCACTTGCAAACACAAATAATTGTGAAATGTTAGAACAAGTTTTCATAAGCCTCAACTCCAATTTACTCGCCGACTCTGTATATATTGTTTATTATATTATCACGAAACTGAATAACTGTGGAAGACAATGACAATGTAAATAAAGCACAAATGCTACAACATTACAATAAAGCATTAAATAAAGCATTTTTACTACTACATAAATCGTGATTGAAAATAGAGGTGCCGTTTTAGCTTGCACCCGGAAGTATGTATTTGTCAATCATTCAAATCGGTGGTTCAACAGAAGTTTTCGTATCAATTTAAGTCTTAGTCATTCAGTGTTTGGCTGCAATGTCTTATTTGTGAGTGTTAGTTGTTCAGTTGGCACAGTAATGAATCTTTAGACAGTATTAACTTGTTAACTTGTTAAACTTATATGTGGTAATGTTATTAACAGAAAAATCAGAAGTAAAGTGGTAACGCGTGTATCACCGTGTTATGGGTTTCCGGGCGCTGAAGAAACAGTGTGTAGTTTTCAATCTAATCACATGGGGAATTGTAAAACATATCATTTACGAATAAAAGACAAAGTAGACACAATTTATGGATAACAACCTCTTTAATACTGCAATGGCGACGTTTCGATATAGATCCTACCGTTGTCAAGCAAGACTGAATGAGGAACACTGTACGTAATATATAGTAGACGGAGGATTAACATTGTGACACCCAATCCCCATTAGATGCTTGTTGCAACTACTATATGTATAGGATCAGCTAGGTCCTACATTGTGACAACCAATCCCCATTAGATGCTTGTTGCAACTACTACATGTATAGGATCAGCCAGGTCCTACATTGTGACACCCAATCCCCATTAGATGCTTGTTGCAACTACTACATGTATAGGATCAGCCAGGTCCTACATTGTGACACCCAATCCCCATTAGATGCTTGTTGCAACTACTACATGTATAGGATCAGCCAGGTTCTACATTGCGACACCCAATCCCCATTAGATGCTTGTTGCAACTACTACATGTATAGGATCAGCCAGGTCCTACATTGTGACACCCAATCCCCATTAGATGCTTGTTGCAACTACTACATGTATAGGATCAGCCAGGTCCTAGATTGTGACACCCAATCCCTATTAGATGCTTGTTGCAACTACTTCATGTATAGGATCAGCCAGGTCCTACATTGTGACACCCAATCCCCATTAGATGCTTGTTGCAACTACTACATGTGTAGGATCAGCCATTTCCTACATTGTGACACCCAATCCCCATTAGATGCTTGTTGCAACTACTACATGTGTAGGATCAGTCATTTCCTACATTGTGACACCCAATCCCCATTAGATGCTTGTCGCAACTACTACATGTATAGGATCAGCCAGGTCCTACATTGTGACACCCAATCCCCATTAGATGCTTGTTGCAACTACTACATGTATAGGATCAGCCAGGTCCTACATTGTGACACCCAATCCCCATTAGATGCTTGTTGCAACTACTACATGTATAGGATCAGCCAGGTTCTACATTGTGACACCCAATCCCCATTAGATGCTTGTTGCAACTACTATATGTATAGGATCAGCCAGGTCCTACATTGTGACACCCAATCCCCATTAGATGCTTGTTGCAACTACTTCATGTATAGGATCAGCCAGGTCCTACATTGTGACACCCAATCCCCATTAGATGCTTGTTGCAACTACTACATGTATAGGATCAGCCAGGTTCTACATTGTGACACCCAATCCCCATTAGATGCTAGTTGCAACTACTACATGTGTAGGATCAGCCAGGTCCTGCATTGTGACAC